ATTTTTATGTGTAGACAGAATTCTTGTTTTTTTTTATATATATGTTAACGAGTCCAATTTTTATTATTCGAAGGCAAAAATGAAACTCGATTCATGTTCTATCGGTGAGAAACCAAAACGCTAAGGCTCTTCGGTGGACACAAAGACAGCCTTGAAGTTTGATGACTTCTGTTCCCTTGTACCGAAAACCTTGTTCCCTTGTGCAGTAAAACCAATTGCACCCCGTGTAAACTTTACGATATTTTCGTTTCACGTTCGAATCGTTGTTATCCGTGGAAATGGCGGTCAGTGCAATATTCACTTTTGTGACTAGGTTTAATGAAAGACTAGTTCGAGGTCGAATATCGAACCCTTGAGTCTCTTGATAGATCCTCAATACAAGCGCTATGGTGTCTGCTACTCAAGAAATTGACCATTAACCGAACATTGACGTTATAAAATTTTTCATGACTTTCTTCACGGACAGTGTGATCGTTAAAAATAGTAGGCTAACAGTGCGAAAACTGTGCAAAACAACATAATTCGACGTCCAGTGGCGTACAAATTTTTTTTTACCCTCGTGGTTAAATGATGTGACGAAAAACACGAGACAGCTTCGTTCCGTAATAGCTCGTACAAATTCGTTTACATTTTCGTACAAGCTAACAAATTAACGATACGGGATGGAACGCGGAAAGCATTCGGTCGAAGGAATATGATCTGTTTCAAATCGAAGTAAGAAACGCGATCGATTATGATTTCATAAATCGTACGTTAGAAGAGAAATCAGGTTGATTTGCATCGATTGAAATGCATCGTGATTGCACGGACGCGGTCGTGTCGCGCGTGGAAAAACCGGTAGCGCAGATGAATCGATGCGGCGATCACGCCTCTGCCTTGGCCGCACGACAAAAGAGACGTCGCGGGTGTCGTTATCGCGATTATGATAATCCGGCTTTGCGCTTGTTTACACCGTACCCCCGTGCCGGGCGACATCTCCACGATGCTTCACGTCGTCGGGCTTGCTATCGACTTGACGATCTTAAAAACCATAGGTGAGAACGTTTTTTGGTTTATTCATATGTGCCTAAATATGTTAAGTCCTTTCGTGTAGCGAACAAAAGAATCGATGACAGAGATAGGGTGAGAATGATCGGAGATTAATGCACATTTCGTTGTATCAACGAAATCGGTATGAAAATCGTTTGAAGAAAATATAAAGGTAGCGATGTAAAATATCGGGGCTCGAACGGGATGAGAGGAACTGCTTACAATTTGTAATCGAGGAGACTGTAGTACCTGAGCGGCGACCTAAACGGGGGATCGTCGAAAAAGCACGGTGACAGGACCGCGCAAGAAACTAGTTCCCGGTACGAGACGAGGAGTTGACAGTACGTATTTTTGTTCGCCGTACAAGACGCCTTCATTATCCATACCGATGATGCCCGATGCGAGAGAAATTCCCCATTCAGAATTCAGGCTCATGAATATACCTAAGCGCGGGGTCCCTCGCGCCCCGTTCCCAGAATTATCGCGGCCGCCGCTATGGATCGTCGACCGGTAATTCGATTTTTGCGTTCGACCTGTTTTTCAGGTCGGACCCGGGTCGCTTTGAATATTTTAATTAGTGGGATACGCGCTCGCCGCGGTGTTCAATAATAAACCCGAGGACGGTGGTCGCAAAAAAGAAATGACAGTCCTGGCATGACGCGGAAAAATAATTACCAATTTACATAATTAGATAAATCGAATGTAGAGTTAATTAATTGGATTTTAAAGAACGTTAGTTCTTGCATAACGCTAATCTCTTCTGCAGAAATATATCTGTTATTATTATAACTCGCAAGTATTCTCGAATTCGTATTATATTAAGACATACGAACGGTACCAAGCGAGAGGGCAGATGGTTCTTTATTAAATGAACGAAGGCAATTAATTGAGGAAACAGTATTGAAACCTCATAAAGGAATTTTAACGATATTTACCGGAGTGTTCTAATCAGATTGCGCGTTGCGAGCATAATCAGCTGGCGGATTCCAGGCGATTGACCGGGCTCCTTTTTTTTTTCCTCACATCCCTTTAGAGAACTCGCGAGTCCAATTAAGTGCGGACCAGAACAGAATCTCAGGCCTTTTCGCGTTTTGTTTCCAACCTGGTCGGCGCTAGACGCGGCGCCATGAAAACGCTTCAGGATCAAGGGCCTGTTCTCTTCTCGTTACTCGTACCAGAGAATTCCACCGCGTTCGCCGACGTGTTTCCGTTTCTATACCGTACGAATTGAACAGTGGGGGTCCAATTAAGAGGAAGCACGCGAAGGAAATCGTTCGCGGGTAGAGAAACAGACTGGGCTGGAACTGCGACACCGTGAGCAGACCTGAGCAGAAAGGGGTTGTGTATACCACGGTAGAGTGATTGAACGAGAGAGACAAAGAAACGCACGCGTATAAAATACGATAGCCCAGATACGATCGTCCCTACACGTTCCTTGCCATAACTATAAATCTGACTGTATGATTAACTTGATATTGAATCAGGTTTAATACACGCGAGTGCGTGTAATACACCGTTCCCCTTTATGAAAATTGATACAGCAGATTTTTTTATACTTCTCACGCTAAAAATGATTAGTCCCGAGTCTTGTTTTAAAATATGATTATGATGCAATTATTGTTACAGAAGCCAATCGTTAAGTTTTCCCATGTGTGTTTACAGATCAGACAAGAGAAACCCTACTATATTGCGGATCCGGAGGTGGACTCGCTGGTGAGTATATACTTGATTTTTATTCGCAGCAACCCTCATCAACCCCTCGCGTCTCATTATTGGCCGTTTAACTTTTCACCTCGTATAAGTTCGTCTCGTTTTGAATCTAATTGCTCGAATTTATTTGAGAAATCGCGACCACCCGGTGTGTTCGCTTTTAAAAAGGATGACAGAAAAATCATTCGTAACTTCCAGTTTAATGTATGTCTCAAGCATTCAATATTTAAGTTCTTTAATATATGAAATATTTAATCAATGGAGGGAATTGCATATTCTATTATATTATTTTTAATTTATGTGAATAGCGTTTGTTATAAATATTAGATTTGATTAAGCATGAATGACATAGCGTATAGGTTGAAGTCGGTGTACTTTACAACACGTTTGTGGCAATCTCTACGCGTAAAGGTGTTGCAAAAAGTTTAGCTGCTCGCCTTTAAGTAGATCGTAAAGAGTATGCAAAGGGCGATAATTAAAAAGGAACGAAATACGAGGACTCGTTGCCGCGCCTTTGTTTCCTCGTGGCCGGCCGGCCAATCGAATGGCAGACCTTCGAAACGTACCGCGCTGGAGGAAGAAATATTTCAGGCGACCCTTCGCGTTCTCTGATCGAGATAACGGATAGTGGGCTTTTTAAATAACTCTGGTGTATTCCTTGCCTCGCCGGACGAGGACGTGCACGCGGCTCGACCTATGCTCGGCCTGGCTCATCGCCGACCTGCCATTATGGATTCCTTCTCCGAGACCGATGTCCTTGCCGATCTGCCGACCATTGATACTCGCTTCCTCTTGCCATTTCGAGTACGCTTTACTGAGATCGTTCGAAGGTCGAAGAAACGCAATGAGAGAAACAATTTAGAATCTAATTAAAAGCTAGTCAAAGTTTAAATAACCACATACACACACACAATGTTTGTAATCTTCTTCTATCAGGATGAGGGAAATAACGAATTCGTATTTAATCTAAATTAATATCTATTTCGTTAAATAGAAGAAACGTAGCCGTCGACGTACGCGTCTTGGCTGACTGTCTCTCGATTCATTGTTATTTGTGTGTGTTTTGTATGATAAGAAAAATGTGAAGTATTTTGAAATGATTTATAAATGGATGCTGATATAACATTTCGGGAACAGACTGGTTTGTTTAAAAGTTATCTGTAGGCTAATTTCATTTAATGTCGCATGATGCCCGTTTGTTTTATTTAATGTTTAATTAATACGCTCGTAACTTGTCATTACAAACGGGGATATTTATCGGTTGAATTTCGGTCCTGGTTGCACAATAGTTTCTAATTATTCTGGAAAGAACCGCGTCGCGTCGACCGCGCGCAATTTTTCACCATAAAGCCGATTCAGCGACAGGCCGACCTTACAGCTCACGGATCGGTCGCGCGAAAAAAGGTTGTCGCGCGCTTTTCGAATATTCGCTCGTAATTCAAAATTGGATATATCGAGCGTGTTAATGGTGAACCGGTGTACGTTGTTCGCCCGCCGCCACCCGCCCTTGCTCTTCTACCCCCCTCTCGTTCTCGTTGTTTTTTGGTGGAACCAGTGCGGAACGGCGCAGCGGCGAAAATAAAAAAAAAAAAAAAAGTACTGGGGGTGAGAAGGAAAACGGACGACGGGATGCATTTCGTTGACGTTGTTCGCATCGTTGGCCTCAATTTTTCAAAATGTCACGCCCGTTATCTGAGCTGTCAGGACGGCATCGGTCCGCGCGCAAACATCCACACAAGGTGTACCGCCGGCTTGCATCTCGCGCCGCTGTTGTCACAACTGTCGCTCGGTCTCGATCTGCTGAAACAGAAAACGAACGGAATAAAAACTCGTGGTACAAAAAAAAAAAAAAAATCGAAACAGAATGAAACAGAGTAAAAAAAATAGTCGGAAAACAGAGAACTGGGGAAAAAATGTGCGATGGGGAAAAACGAGCGGTACGTATTGTATATGGTTACATACGAATGGCAGTATGGTCGGTCGCGATATTTAGTTTCATCAAGTTATATATAGTAAATATCCATTGAATGCGTAGAAAAATAATATTATATCTATTACGTGATATGACGATAGTAATTATAGATTAATAGGAAGTATCGTACAAAGGGAGTCAGTTGAAGCATTTGCAATGTTTCTTAAACGTCGAATGCATTTCTGAATTTCTTTTATCATTAGAAGTAGTAAGTGCGACATTATCCCCTTCTTGTTGGGGTCCCTCTTAAACTGGCCCTGCAAACGGTTTCGACGTGGCAAAAACTCGCGAATCGAATCCGCTAGAATTTATGAATGGCTCACGGAAGCCGAGGGCTTGTCCGGAGGATCGAAAATCGCAATCACGGATCGGCACGGCTCGCTCGTCGACAGGAACCGGTGGCGTGGCTTCATTACGTCCGTGGCAAATCGCAATCTACGAGCAATGAGCTTCTATCGTAAAGAAGAGGCACGTAACGTCCACGGTTTTTGCCGCTCGCACTCTCTGCCTCCTCTCCGTCGTTCCTTTCTTGCGCGGCCTTTTTTTCTCCTACTTTCTCTTTTTTCTCCCGCGGTCTTTACAGTCCGTCTTTGCGAGATGGCTGCGTCGATCGACGAGAGTCCCCTTTTTACCGCCATTATTTCGCAGAAAGAAAATCGTTTTGCTGGTTAGGAATTCCCTGATATCGCGAGCCCAGTTAACTTCGTGGTAACTTCTTTTGATTAAAAGACGGGTGAAAAAGCCGGCCGATTGGATACGCTGGCTGCAAAGGACACGGCGATACGGTCGAGCAGCGGCGAAAGGGCTCGAGATGGCAGAAAATTCGACGCAGCTGTGTGGTCCCCTCGGCGGAAAGCGCAGGGAAACTCTAGAAAAGGAAACTCGCTTCAGCTGGCGGATTCTTGTCGCGGCACGAACAATAGAAAACTGTTGCGCTCTTCGAGTGTTTCCAAGCTTCGGAATCGTTCACTCGTACCCACCGATTTGTGGTTTAATCGCTCGTTATTTTCGAGCAGATTTTTATGCTCCCTACAGGGAACCAATTTTTGGGGCAAACTGTAGAACGGTTTTCAAATTCAGGGTTTCGCTATTTACTTTTTTATTGTTAGAAACACTTCTAAATAGTATTTTTCACACGAACATGACGGAAAAAAAAATTTTTATTTTTCCGAGATTTTTCCAAGGGGTACCCCTTCAGATTTTGCGAAATTTTCGTTTTTCCTCAATAACTCTTAAACCGTTGGATTTATGGGAAAATTGCATAGGACCTTTCTTATAGAGG